TCATTCTTTTTCACCGCTAAGTAATACTCCATTGTGTATATGTATGTGTATGTGTGTATATATATATATGTATGTATATACATTTTTTTCTTTATCCATTCATCAGTCAATGGACATTTGGGCTCTTTCTGTAATTTGGCTATTGTTGACAGTGCTGCTATAAACACTGTGATGCCCCTTTGAATCAGCATTTTATTTATTTATTTTTATTTTTATTTTTAATGTTTTATTTATTTCTAGGAGAGAGAGAGAGACAGTGTGAGCAGGGGAGGGTCAGAGAGAGAGGGAGCCACAGACTGAAACAGGCTTCAGGCTCTGAGCTGGCAGTCACCACAGAGCCCGATGCGGGGCTTGAACCCAAGAACCGCGAGATCATGACCTAAGCGAAAGTTGGACGCTTAACCGATTAAGCCACCCAGGCGCCCCGAGCATTTTATTTTTTTTTAAATGTTTATTTTTGAGAGAGACAGTGAGAGACAGAGCATGACCAGGGAAGGGGAAGAGAGACAGGGAGACAGAGAACCTGAAGCAAGCTCCAGGCTCTGAGCTATCACACAGAGCCTGACACAGGGCTCAAACCCATGAGCTGCAAGATCATGACCTGAGCTGAAGTTGGACGCTTAACTGACTGAGCCACTCAGGTGCTCCAAATCAGCATTTTTGTATCCTTTGGATAAATTCCTAGTAATGCAACTGCTAGGTCATAGGGTGGTATATCTTTAATTTTTGGAGGAACCTCCATACTGTTTTCCAGAGTAGCTGTACCAGTTTGCATTCCTACCAACAATGCAATAGGGTTCCCTTTTCTGTGCATCCTTGCCAATATCTGTTGTTTCCTGAGTTGTTAATTTTAGCTGTTCTGACAGGCATGAGGTGATATCTCATTGTGGTTTTGGTTTCGATTTCCCTGATGTTGAGTATCTTTTCATTTGTCTATTAGCCATCTGAGTCTTCTTTGGAAAAATGTCTTTTCATGTCTTCGCCCCATTTCTTCACTGGGTAATTCTTTTTGGGGGGGTTGTTGAGTTTGATAAGTTCTTTATAGGTTTTGGATACTAACTCTTTATCTGATAAGTCATTTGCAATGGATGCCTTTCATTTCTTATTTTTTCCTGTCATGACTAGAACCCCCAGTAGAACAGAAATAGAAATTGCTAATTGTACATATTTGTAGATATAATGGTACTGCACAATTAGACCAGAGAACAGTGCATGGTACATACTGAATCATATAGTATATGTTGAATAGAAATGGTAAGAGCACACATCCTGTCTTGCTCCTAATTTTAAGGAGGAAGCATCCAGTCTTTTATCATTAAATATGATTTTAGCTGTGGATATTTTCAGGTACTCTCTATTGGGTTGAGAAAGTTCCCGTCTATTGCCAGGGTTTTTTTTGTTTTGTTTTGTGTTTTGCTTTGCTTTTTTTTTGGGGGGGGGAGGGGGGTTAAGTCATGAAAGGATGTTAAGATTTTCCCAGATGTCTTTTTTTTTTCCCAGATTTATTTTTAAGTAATCTCTACACCCAACACGAGGCTTGAACTTTCACCCCTTAGATGGAGAGTCACATGCTCCACCAACTGAGTCATCCAGAGGCACCACCAGATGCCTTTTCAAATACTGATATGATCGCATGTGTTTTTCCTTTTGACTGATATGGTGTATTACATTAACATACTTTCAGATGTTAATTTAACCCTGCATTCCTGGGTTAAATCCCATTTACTTGTTCATGGTGTATAATTCTATGTTGCAGGATTTAGTTTGCTAATATTTTGTGGAGGATTAAACACATCCATATTTGTAAGAGATACTGGCCTGCAGACTTGTGTGTGTGTGTGTGTGTGTGTGTGTGTGGTTTTGGTATCAAGGTAAAACAGCCTTCACAGAATGAGTTGGAAAGTGTTCTTTCTTCTGTTTTTTGAAAGAGTTTCTAAAGATCTGGTATTAATGTTAGCTGGAATTCACCAGTGAAGCCATTTGAGCCTAGGCTTCTGTCTGTGGGTTCTTTTTTGATTACAAAGTCAATCACTTTACTATCCTTTCATTTCTGATTCTAGTAATTTTAGAATTCTAGTAATTTTTAAAATTTATTTGTTTTTTGACTTTTCTTGGCCAATCTAGTTAAATTTTGCCAATTTTGTTGATCTTTCAAAAAAACCAGCTTTCAGCTTCATTATTGTTTTTCTATTTTATTAATTTGTGCTTTAATCTTGATTGTGTCTTTCTGTTTACTTTAGGGTTAGTTTGTTCTTTTTCTCATGTCATAAGGTAGCAGTTACAGTTTCTAATTTAAGATCTTTCTTTTTTTATAGGCATTAACAGGTATATAAATTAACAGTATTATATTATAACAGTATAAGAGTACATAAATTAACAGTTATAAATTTCCCTCTAAGCACTGCTATAGCTGCATCCTGTAAGTTCTGGTACATCATGCCTTCATTTTCATTCACCTCACTGTATTTTCTAATTTCCCTTTTGATTTCTTCTTTGATCCACTGGTGATTTTAGGAACAGGTTAATTTCCACGTATTTATGAGCCCTCCAAACTTCTGTTACTAATTTCAAATTTCATTCCATTGTGTTGAAAGAACATTCTTTGTATTATTTTCATCCTTTTAAGAAAGCTACTGAGGTTGGTTTCATCACACAGCACATGGTCTTAACCTGGAGAATGTTCCATGTATACTTGAGAAGAGTGTGTATTCTGCGTCTGTTGGGTGAAGTGTTCACTGTTAGAATTACAGGTCAGAAAATGTATATTCCATGCTCTTCTTTGTAGTAAATATTGAAGAAAATGATTCACAAAGGAAGAAAGTAAACAGCGCTACATATAGGATGCAAGAAATGAACGGGGTGAAGAGAAGTCTCAGGAAGATGGTGAGAGGAACAAAAGGTCTAAGAAGGGAATAAATAACTCACGTTTCTGAGCATATGGAAAACGTTAGCCATAGGTTTGTTACAGAGATGATGAAAATATGAACAGATAGTAACACATTAAAAAAAAAAAAAAACAGAGGCAAATGAAAAACAAGGCAAGTTATTTACACCAGGACAAAACTCCTCTTATAGGAGGAGGCAACAAACCACTTGGTATAGGAGTGAATCCTTTCTACTGATTACCAACAACTGATTCATAAGTATTATGAAAATTGTGCGGAAAGATACATGAAAAGATGTGGGAATGGTATAGGTGAAGCTAAGTTCTTATGTACAAAGGTAGATAGAAAGCTACATGTGGGTAGATTTACAAACAGATCAATAAATAATGCCTAAAATGAGTAAATCATGAAACACTGTAAATTCTTTTTTTTTTTTAAAACACTATAAATTCTTACCTGAAATACATTGGTACATGCAAGGGAAAAGAGCTGGACTACAGTTGACCCTTGAACAATGCAAGGGTTAGGGACACCAACCCTGTGCAGTCAACTCTGCATTTTTTAATATATTGACTCCCCCAAAACTTAACTACTAACAGCCGACTGTTGACCAGAAGAACCCTTCTTATAATATAAACAGCTGATTGTTATATGTTCATTACATGTATTATATACTGTATCTTAAAGTAAGCTAGAGAAAAGATGTTATTAAGAAAATCCTAAGAGAAGAATACATTTATAGAACTACACTGTAAAAAAAAAAATCTGCATGTAAGTGGACCAGCACAGTTCAAATCTGTGTTGTTCAAGGGTGCACTATATTTTGTTTCTTTAATTCATTTTATTTTTTTGATCATGATAAGTGTACTCTTTGATCACCCTTCTGTACCCCAGTCCCTCTCACTTACTTTATTCTCTGTAGTTAAGAGTCTGTCTGGGACGCCTGGGTGGCTCAGTTGGTTTAGCATCTGACTTCACCATGGGTTCGAGCCCTGCGTCAGGATCTGTGCTGACAGCTCAGAGCCTGCAGCCTGCTTCAGATTCTGTGTCCCTCCCTCTCTCCCGGCCCTCCCCGGCTCACATGCTCTCTCATTCTATCTCAAAAATAAACATTAAAAAATAATTTAAAAAAAAAAGAATGTTTCTTGGTTTGTCTTTCTGCCCTTTGTTTTGTTTCTTAAATTCCATAGGAGTGAGATCATATAGTATTTGTCTTTCTCTGACTTATTTTGTGAAGCATCATACTTTCTAGCTCTATCCATGTTGCAAATGGCAAGATTTCATTCTTTTTTATGACTGAATATTATGCCATTGTATATGTATATGTCACCTCTTCTTTATCCATTCATCAATCAGCAGGCACTGGGCTGCTTCCAAAATTTGGCTATTTTAAATAATGCTGATACAAACACAGGGGTAAATGTATTCCTTTTATTTAGTGTTCTTATATTTTTTGGGTAAATACCTAAAGTGCAATTCCTAGGTCATAGGGTAGTTGTTCTATTTTTAATTATTTGAGGAGCCTCCATACTGTTTTCCACAGTGGCTGCAGCAATTTGCATTCCCACCAACAGTGCAAGAGGGTTCCTTTTCCTCCACATCCTCGCCAACACTTGTTGTCTCCTGTGTTTTTGATTTTAGCCCTTCTGACAGACGTCCAGTGACAACTCAGTGTGGTTTAGATTTGCATTTCCCTGATGACGAGTGATGTTGAGCATCTTTCCATGTGTTTATTGGCCATCTGGATATCTTCTTTGGAGAAATGTCTGTGCATGTCTTCTGCCCATTTTGAAAACTGGATTATTTGCTTTTAGATGTTGAGTTATGTAAGTTCTTTACATATTTTGGATACTAAAAAGGGTCAACTGTACTTTGAATGGTTATAAGATTAGAGGTTGGGAGGACGGTGGCAATGACAGTTGTTTTATACTCCTAGCAACTGGATAAAATTTTAAGTCACTTAAGAGAGAAGATTTAAAAAAAAAAAAGTCTTCATATCACCAAGTAAATAAATCAGTACTAACTGGTAATGTTTAGAAATAGGAATCCCCTTTGCTGGCAATCCAAAATGACTGACTGGCTTTTCTAATGTACCTTCTAAACCTTACACCATACCTTCCGAACATCAGAACTTTTCGGTTCTGTTGTCCAAGTGATGACCCGAGACACTGCCAGGCGAGTTTCACTGGAATTTATAAAATCTCCTGGATCCATCTGCTTGGCCAGAGTTTCTATGTATTTAAGGATAGCAACCTTCACCTGCAGAGGCAAACAAATGAGAGACGACAATCAGATGGTCACTGAGGGACACTGACTATACTTCAAAAAAGCGATCACGTGCTTATTTTTTCGACCAATACAAAATGAAACATCAACAGTAACAAAAAAGAAATCACATAACCACCTACATACCTGAGGCACAAATACATGGAAATGTGGATTTTTGTTTTCACATATAGCAGAACTTTTAAATCCCAGGTGTTTCATTCCCTGTGTCTGAACTGAAGACTCTCTTGACAAGAGTAAACCCTTCTCCTTGAGTCGGCCTTCAGAGCTTACAGCTGACTCTTGTCTAGATTTCCCTGGGAGCCAGTCTTTATAAATTAAGTGTAATTTGGCTTTTGGGGAAATGAACCAAAGTTTTCTGGAAATAAGGTATCATAAACCAAGTAAGTATCAAGATGGGCAATACAGGCTTTCCCCCAAACATACAGTAACATTCACCCAATGAGATCATGTTCCTCAACAGGTCCTTCAACTGCTAGAACTACCTTTCAAAAGAAGTGTCACAAAAAGGTTTTATACAAGTACCGCTGGAGAAAGACAACACTTCTTTGTAACTCCTGATGTGTGTGTGCATGGGATAGGTAGGCGTGTGGTCAAACGCAGGCTTCGTAATCGGCTGGAGGTGGGGTAAAGCATACACGCTTCTTCCGTACTCTCAGCCTTTGTTATCCTCAGAGTAAGCCACTGTTCAATTACCCCCTTTCTCTCAGGGATGTGACAGCAGAAAGGCAGGCTGAGAACAACTGTTTTAAGAAGTCACATCTTCTGACACTCTAGGGTTTCTAAATAATGATTCTGAAAGTCTCTGCTAGTGCAGTTTAGAAATGGCACCCGGCACAGTGTACAGTCCTTGGATACAGCAGATGTTAAACATGCATTAAGTACTACTTTGCTGACTTAAAGGAAAATATGTATGATTAAAACAGCAACTTTGAAAAAATATTGCCAGAGATTAAGATAATCAGGTTTCCAGTGTTCTGATCTTAAGAGGTCATTTGTCTCACTGAACCCAAATAAGGTCTTTGGGAAGTACTGCGCCAATTTAATGGAAAGGAAGCAGTGTTACTATAAGGTTCTTGTACATTTTCCCCCTTCTGCTTCCAGTTTAAAAGAAAAGGGGGGATCAGATTACATTCTTCATTTCAAAATGACTACATTTTTAAAAACTTTTTAAATATGTTTATTCATTTTTGAAAGAGAGAGAGAAAGATAGCGAGTGTGAGCAGGGAAGGGGCAGTAAGAGAGAGGGGCGCCAGAGGAACTGAAGCAGGCTCTGAGCTGACAGCAGTGGGCCTGATGCAGGGCTCGAACTCATGAACCCCAAGATCATAACAGGAGCTGAAGTCAGATGCTCAACCGACTGACCCACTCAGGTGTGCCTCAAAATGAATACATTTTAAGAAATAACTATAACTTTTAGATGTACTGAAAAAAAAATTGAGAGATGACCCATTGTCTGTCCAGATAAAATATAGTGGAAAGAGACTTATGATTAATTTTGCAGTAGCAAACCCAATACATTACGGTAGCACTTAATAATTGTATTCCTGGGGCGCCTGGGTGGCTCAGTTGGTTGAGCGTCCAACTTCGGCTTAGGTCATGATCTCAAGGTTCGTGAGTTTGAGTCCCACGTCAGGCTCTGTGCCGACAGCTCAGAGTCTGGAGCCTGCTTTGGATTCTGTGTCTCTCTCTCTCTCTCTGCCCCTCCCCCGCTTGCACTCTGTCTCTCTCAAAAATAAACATTAAAAAAAAAATTGTATTCCTGAAGCCATGTTACTTTCTACCAGTATAACTGAACAGTGACTATAGTAAAACAAAGAATGAACATCAATGTAGTTTGTGTTCAACTTGCTACCATCAATAACTGAATATACTTATTTGTGCTATGTGAGATTCAACTAGTGCCGTGTCAGCAACTTACAAAGGCACATAAGCTTTATAGGGTTTCACAGAGTAGGTGTGTTTATAATACCCCTAGGCATAATAACCACAATACATACATAATAATCATTTGAAAGTTTAGATTTAAGTAGACGATTTCAGAAGATTATATACAGTCTGTAATTTTAATAACACAAACATGTATTCAGAGAAGAGAAAATTATCTAGCTGCTAAAATGTGTTTAACTTTACCATGTATCTGTGAAACCCAGAAAAAGGTCACCAAATTATTATTGTTTGAATATTACTCAGAATCACACTGTATTGCTATTTCCCCCTATTCTATTGCTTCTTTTCTGACATTTAACCACATGACTGTGAGAAATAAGTTTTCTCTTTTATCTGAGAGAGCCATCATTTTTTCAAAAAAGAATTTATAGATCGCATACACAAGTTGTTTTTCTATAACCTGTTCAGTTTTTAAATCTGCCATCCATCAGAAAGTTACCTTTATTTTTGGCATAAGGTCTGGCTCTAATTTAACTTTTTCTTGTTATCTTAAAATATCAATTTAGGAGTTTTAGAGTGACTTTCCCGTACAGTGTTGCCTGCAGAAGTGTGTATATAATATGTAATATGTGTATATATCACATAAAATCCAAAAGCCATATAGACAATGGCCTTTACAGAATTAGTCTGTAACTCCAGAACGTCTCCCAATAGGAAAGCAAATTTTAGGGGCGACTGGGTTGCTCAGTTGGGCGGCCAACTTTGGCTCAGGTCGTGATCTCACTGTTTGTGGGTTTGAGCCCTGCGTCGGGCTCTGTGCTGACAGCTCAGAGCCTGGAGCCTGTTTCAGATTCTGTGTCTCCCTCTCTCTCTGACCCTCCCCTGCTCACGCTGTTTCTCTCTCTCAGAAATAAATTTAAAGAAAAAATGTTAAAAAAAAAAAAAAAGGAAAGCAAATTTTAATTAGTCTGTTTCCCACTGTCTTTTTCTTGAGGCATTTAGCAACTTTATTCTCTCCCTGAACTCCCCATCTTTATTTCTTAAGCTAAGGGTTTAGACCTCCCTTTCCACCGGCTCATGAAAAATCTCTACGTATATTTTCTACAGCACTTGAATACCTTCTCCTAGTACCTAAATCATAACCCTTATTACAGTTTGCCATGCATTATAGTAATGATAAGAAAATCTAAGTTTTATATTCCTCGGAGTACCATGCACAATGGCTAGGACAAAGAATAAATTCAAAACATATTTATCAATAATATCAAGTAAATTATTCTCCTGTAGGTCACGTTTTGAAATCACAACAGATAGAATCCTTTTCACAAAGCAGCTCTGAGAAATCAACATTATGTTGAGTGCAAGTCAACCCTGGTAAGAAACATAACTGTGAATTTTAAGGCAAAATCATATTCAGAAACTTAAAGGAAAATTGATCATGGGCAATAATGCTTGTAGAATATATTTCGTGCAGAAGAGAGCAGAGAATATAAGGCTTGTAAATGCACATATGCTTGTTATTTCCCTGACTTTAATCTCATTTAGTAAAACTAAGAAAACCTCTACTAAACCTCTACTAAAGAATTCAGGGGCTTTTCTATTATTTTTTCTTTTATGTTCAATAACCATTTTAAGTCACAAATTGGAATCCACCTCGTTTTCACATAAATTCACTAGAAATGTGTGCTAATAACAATTGAGAAAGGTAACCCTGATTCTAAATTTTTATGCACACATTAGAAATATCACCACTGCAAAAAAGGAGAAAAAAGTTACAATTTCAGTTAAGCTATTCTTCAGTTAAGGAGAACTGGAGAATAGCAGGGAGATTAAACTTAAACTTTTTTGAAGATTAAACTTAAAAATTTTTTGTTTACTAAAATACATAGGCAAAACTGACATTTTGCCCAAAATACCGATTCAAACTTGTCAACTTAAAAAAAAACAAGAGTATTGGGAAATCACAAACATAACATGAGAGAAGACTCTATAGAGCAAGTCTGCACCAGCAGCGTAGAGTTAGATGGGCCCGCCTGTGCTGCCTTCCGAGTGGGAACCCCCAGGAAGCTTCTCCCAGAGACAGCCTGGCATTTGAGTAACATTTGAAGTAAAATCCGCGCATGCTTCAAGTAAGGCTTCCAGAGGTTAGTAGTTGAAAACAGATGCATACAAACATTCTCTGAAACACGGCAGAGTTTTTAAAGAGAGTTAAGAAAGGAAATAATGCAGATTAAAACAAAAACAAAAAAACCTTGGAACTCCAAAAAGAGTGAAGCTGGTCCCGAAGAGCTGGCTTGACTGTCTGAAAGTTTATAAGAACAAAATCCACTGATGGAATGGTTTCGTATTCAACACAAATACAAATATCAACGTTATTAATAAAATGCTTCAATTCCTTACAATGCCTTTGAAAGACTTCAAATTTTTACCTTCAAGCTTGGTGTTTGGGTCTGATCAACTGTAAATCTCATTAGAATATTGAACTGAAGATCATTTGGAAAAGATTCTCTGAAATAAGGAAACAACAAAGCAAAACGAAGATTAATCAGGTAAACATCTGGCAAACTAGACAAAATTATGCTTTGTACCAAAACATCATGTCATTCCAAGAGCATGCATGACGTAGTATCTGTCGGTGGCACTATATGCACAGCACACAGGTTTTCCAGAACAATCTGAGCATCTGAGTCTATATCCTATTGGGGGTTAAAAAACACCACTATAGTAAATAACAGTCTATCTCGCTTCAACTATGGATTTAAACAGAACATTAAAAAAGCTGAACATTATCAGAAATGTTTCCCCAAACCTAATATCTGAATTCTTAGACTCACCTCAACAACCACACAAGAAAAAAGAACTATATCATCGGTTCAAAATGTTCTGGAAAAAGATTCTAAATGTTTAAATGCATACTAAAACATTCGCTTTAAATGTAGGAAATATTTTTTGTTTACATTAGACTGAATAAGATCTTCAACTCTATTTTGAACATCCTCGTTAGGATAAAACACCACCATGAGTTACTCAACCAACGTTCGTGACAGTTTTAGGTAAGAAAGGCAGTGTTTGATTTAAGGACCCCTGTTGCAGTAAATATATCATGTGAACGAGCATGACTGATAATTTTCAAGTGAAGCCCATGCAGCCTAAATGGGTCGAAAAGACTCAGGAGTCTCAGAGAAACTAAACACTTCTGATTACTACTGGTTAAACTGGAAACATATGAGGAAAATATTACCTTGTCACGTCAAGAGCTTTCTGGACTTTTGCCTGAACAGACCCCAGCAAATCAGCACCCATCTTTTTTAACAGCTGAGTCAGCAGTACAAACAACCAATCCTGAAGATCATCTTTGTGGACTTGTATGAAATCCACTAGAGTCTCCAAGAACATGCTGAATACCTACAGTGGACAAACAGGGGCAGGGAGAGAAGAAGGAGGAAATATTGACCTCTATGACTCATTCAAAACCAAAACAGAGAGGGAATACAGGAATCTGAGGCACAGCAGTTGGCAGCCAAGCGGAAAAACAATCTGTCTTGCTTTTCATTGGACTCTGTGATACAAGAGTACGTTTGAACTGTTATCCAACTTCTGCCGAAGTTCAACAATTAGCTATTCCATGCAGCATCGCTCGGTAAAGAAACTTGGGCCACAATGGCTGGCACACCTAATGCTGTTAATGATGCCAGAGCTTAATCTGCTTAAACTGACATCCACTGTAACTGCAATTTAGGGCAAGGAGCTACCTACTGATAGCCTCACCAGGCCGCAGCTATTTGAAGGAGTGGCATGGAGATAATCAGAGGATGACTATGCTGACAGCTACCTTAAAATATAAGAACATTCTGACATATTGGACTAATTAGACACTCCTAGATTTCTCAATATGTCAGGTGTCATACATTTTTTTGGTATTAGATATATTATTTATTAAAACTGCCCCAAACGTAATTTTAAATGATCTGGGATAAGGATAACCGTACCTAAAAGAAAATAAATTCAGGATACAAATCTACACCTTAATTTTAGTGATTTCTTTTTTTTTAATTAAAAAAATTTTTTAAAAATTTACTTCTGAGAGAGAGAGAGAGAGAGAGAGAGAGAGAGAGAGCGTGAGCAGGGGAGGGTCAGAGAGAGACGGAGACACAGAATCTGAAGCAGGCTCCAGGCTCTGAGCTGTCAGCACAGAGCCCGACGCGGGACTGGAACCCATGAACCGTGAGATCACGACCTGAGCTGAAGTCGGACACTTAACCGACTAAGCCACCCAGGTGCCCCAACTTTAGTGATTTAGTCTCCACTTCTTTTGATGGGTTTTGTACTTGGCTCCAGTATTTATCCACTAGTTTAAAATTTTTTATAAGATAAAAAAAATTTAAGGAAAGGAATGCTAATATTCTTTAGTAATCATCTCATTAAAATACTTATGAAAAATGGCTGACACACACGAAGGTATATATTAACAAGAAACTCAGAACCATAGTGGAGAGTTTATTTCTAGGTAAAGAAGAAAAAAACCTCTCAGGACAATGTCAGCCACTACATTAAGAGACAATTTATAATCACAACAGATTATAAAAAGGGTGGCTTAAAACAGTTAATAATCTCAAAACTTTGCTAATTTGAGAATTAAGGACTTATGCTCAATATTTATCTTATTATTGAATTTCCTTTATTCAGTTCTACATGAACTCCCATTTTTTTTCTCTTATGTTAGAAAATGAAGGATTTTCCTGGTCAGAATTAGAACTACGGTTTAATGTTTGAACCGAGTTAGAAAGGATACACCTCAGCTATGAGCTCAAGATGTCCTATAATTACAGACACAGGAACTAGGACTACTTTACATCTTCTAATACCATCTGATCCCCAGACTGCTCTCTTCAACACCACTCTTAATCACAGCACAGAATCATTAACTTCCATCCCACCTCCCCAACTATACCCCCAAATCTGGCTTCTCTTAGATTTAAAACTTGGCCCGCTATCTCAAATGGCTGCTGGCTGTCTCCTCAGAGCGTAGAATAATGTTGAGGGACTCCGTTAAACCTACTCTACAACAACGCCTGTATCTAACTTAGGACCCACTCTTCCTGGTCCCCGGCAAATCGGTCCAGTGGTGTGTTGGAGTCAGTGAGGACTCGCCTAGAAAGCTGACTGCTGAGTATGCAGGAATTCTGTAGGCTGGCTGGTAGCTTGAAGTCACCCATGGTGAGAGTCTACACCTCAGAAGGCACAGCAAATACTACACATCGGGGCTTTCTGTCCATCCCCTTAAACCTGCTTTGCCAGGCACAACACTCTAATTTTTTTTTTTTAAATATTTTTATTTATTTCTAGGAGAGAGAGGGAGAGACAGCGTGAGCAGGGGAGGGTCAGAGAGAGAGGGAGACACAGACTCTGAAATAGGTTCCAGGCTCTGAGCTGGCAGTCAGCACAGAGCCCAACGCGGGGCTCGAACCCACGAACCGCGAGATCATGACCTAAGCGAAAATCGGACGCTTAACCGACTAAGCCACCCAGGCGCCCCAACAACACTCTAATTTTTTGATTCACTTTTAAACTTGTTTCAACTCTTGCCTCTTTTCCTGAAGATTCCAACTTCAAGCTTTCACTAGCAAAGCTGACATTAGAATGCCTACATCAACTCTCATTTCACCTGGTTCTCAGAAAACAGAGAACCAGAAAGTTACATGACTTGCCCAAGGTTTCCATAGCGAATGGTTGGATCAGGACTTTAAGCTAAGTCTCTTGGTTTTCAGCTGTGTTCCATCCACTCTTTGTGAGATAACTTACCTCATCCACTTTACTGTCATTCAACATAAAATTGTCCACTGACTTTTCCCCCACTTTGATTTCCTCTACAGTCATCCTTCTAATAATCATTTCTACAAGGGAGAACCAATTTTATTCCTCTTTAAGACTAATCTTTCAATTCTGGATTCATGTTCTCTACAGTATGGGCTCCCCTCTACTATCTTTACTCTTTTATTCTCAATCTAAATCCTTTGCTTCCAGCTGCAGAAGACAGTGTTGCACAGACTTCTTCAGTTAGCCTCCCACCAATCATCTTCTCATCATGAAATGTAACAGCTTTTTCACTGGCACAGTATTCTTGGCCATCCTGTAGCTGGTCACTGCTTTCCTCTTATTATTTCCCTTCTTTCTTTCATTCCAGTTGCCAGGCCCTAAATATGTGGTGATTAAGAGCCAGTCTTCTTCCTCCTGATTCTCTTTTCATCAACAGGACCTTAACAGGCCCGCTCTCCTCTAGCCTACTAGGCCCCCTGGCCCAACAACAGTTCTCGTCAGGCCTTCCCCAAATCTGTTCATCACACTATCACTGTAGGCACCATGCCTTTCTGACGTCAAGTGTGGGTTTCTAGAACCAGCCACGTTAAGTACGTATTCTAGGCTTAGTAGGCCATATGGTGTTTGTCACAACTACTCAACGCTGCCACTACAGCACAGCCGTCAGCAGTAGGGACACACGTGAGCACAGCTGTGTGCCCTGTAGCTCTATCTACACAACAGGCATCAGGCCAATGCATGCCTGCTTCCTCACACCAAATGTATCATTCTTTTGAGGGAAACAAAATCTTCCACTGCCTATACACAGCGTACAGAGTAACATCTCAAATGCTTAGCCAAGGTTCTAACTCACCAAACTGCTCTCAGACCATCTGGCAGCATAAAGTCTACTGTTCTGAGTACATGACACCACACTCCTGATCTCCCACCACACTCCCTCTCTTTATACACAGCATGGGACTCGCTACGAAGTTTACGGCTCAAGTCCCAGCCAAAATGTTTCTTAGACCACAGACACTGATCTTTCCTTCTTGCAGTGTGTTGTGGGACTAACTTTATGGTGCTATTTAAATTCTTCTGTACTTATATTATCTTCCCATCTGAAACAGAACATTTGAGAATAAAGCCTCTATTTTTGAATAGTTGTGCATTACCAATTAGAACCAAGCTCCAAGTTCATCAGAGGCTGAGGACTGAATAAAAAGTTGTTCAATTAATGTGTAGGAGAAGTTCCTTAAAGAGTAAGGATCTTCTACTAAGTGGAGATTTACCCTGTAAATGGTAGCCAACCCTTTTCTTCCCTCATTGGCAAGGGAGGGCGTGTAAGCTCTTCCCTTCATCCCAGTCAAGATGAACTTCTTTCTCCCTTCTACATATGCATTGACATCTCCCACTTCTCTTGACGCATGTCAGTCACTCCCAGGAGGCCCTTTCTTCTCATGCTGACATATCTGAAGTTTATGTTCCTGACAAGATCTGAGCTGCTACTTTCTTCAAGAAGACTTCTCTGAGGGGCGCCTGGGTGGCTTAGTCGGTTAAGCGTCCGACTTTCACTTAGGTCATGATCTCGCGGTTCGTGGGTTCGAGCCCTGCGTCGGGCTCTGTGCTGACTGCCAGCTCAGAGCCTGGAGCCTGTTTCAGAGTCTGTGACTCCCTCTCTCTCTGACCCTCCCCTGCTCACGCTGTCTCTCTCTCTCTCTCTCCTAGAAAAAAAAAAAAAAATTTTAAAAAAAAGAAGACTTCTCTGAGTCTCTTAAGTAGAAATTTCTTTTGATAGAATACTGATGAACAAAAATGCAGACAAGTTATTTATAGCACACCACATACAGAATTCTACTATTATCTTTCAAAATACTTAAATCCTATCAATGGTGCTTACTAAGTGACAACAGGTATGCCCACATCTATCTCTCTAAAATAAGTATTGTGAATTTCACATAAACTTTCTAACTTGACCGCTTGCTCACAGAGTTCACTGCCAGATGCGGAGGGTACTCCCATGACCTCATCTAAAATTGAAGGAGTGGAAAGTAGATATGCTAATATTAGGGTAAAAAATCTGATTTCATAAAAGAAATTTGAGAGCCACGGCTCCATAAACTGTTCAGTTTGCTTTTATGGGATGACATTTATAGATGAGAAAGTGTACATGGGGAGATTGGGACTAATTATTTTTTTAGTAATAGCAAAACATGGGAATTTTTTTTTTTCAAATAATTCAATGGAACCAATCTTCCATTGAAGGTTTATAATTCCATGTATTTCACAATTGCAATTTACTGGAAAATGACCATACCAATGGAACTATTACAGTTGAGGCAGTCTTTTCTTAATCTCACTATATCTTAGGTGTGCCAGTCATCAAATACAGAACAGAAGAACATCATCAAATTAGATTAATTAGTAGATTAAGAAGCACATCTCCAAACAGAATGACAGTTTGCATAACTGCAAATAGCATTTCGTGGATTGCAAAGGGTCCAACACTGCATGAACTCTTCGGGAGAGAAAATAGAGAAAAAGGGTTAATTTCACAGTCATGCAGTAAAGTTAGGTTTCCAACAAATATTGAACCAACTTACTCTCTA